TTGGCAGGATTTTCTTAAAATTTACACTGTGCCAGCATTCTTGTTTATGCCTCGTTATATAGCCTATTGGCTTCTTCTCTACGCTTCTCAATCCATAGGTGAAAAAAGTTAAAAATTAATTTTTGAACTGCAGTGAGCCTGAATTTCTTGAGTTTCCATGAATTCTCATCATTAAATATTCTTGACTTCATAGACTGAGATCCGCTGCTTGCGCAACCCTACTGTGCCTGCAAGCATCATTTGTATAAGTGATCTTAGCCAAAATCTTATGTACATCTTCAAAAAGGTATAAACATCAAATGTATAGTTATTGTTGCTGTCATATTGTGATGTTTCAACAGTGATGCCTATAATATGTGAAGGAATCCAGCGGCATATTCATATGCTGTGGAACATGAAACATCAAAGGTGATGTTATTATTGCTGGCATTAATATAGTGTTTGAACAGTAATGCCTAGAATATGCATAAGAAGCCAGAGGCATACTGATACACTTCGAAGTACTAACACTTCTAGGGTGGAATGTCATGCCCGACAGATATGAGCACCTACAGTCCTCAGGAACTCCTTAACGTGGTGTCCTATATTCTATATAGTTATTACCATGTGTTTTTACCTATTCAAAAGTTGTGTGTCGGCATGTCCATGTCCGTGTCCGTGCATACTAGCTCATAAGTAGAAAGTTTCTAATTGATTTTAACATTTTCAAATTTCAATAACCAATTGGCTGTAGATTGTTTATAAAGGTTTAGGGATCTTGCTGCAGGATTACAATGTTTATAGTTAGTGTTGTTGGCGTTATTTGATTTTTTGACAGAGTATACAACATGCCTAAGAACCCAGTATAATACTTGTATGCAAAAATAACTTCTAATCGGTCTCAAAATTCTGAGTAATTAATTGAGCTTCATGCCAAGGTTCAGGAATCTTGTGAAGAGAAGATCAAAGCATCTACTTCAACTGTTGATTCACCACTATATAATCCAAAAGATATCTTGGAGCGCCTTGCACTTCCTCCACCAAAGGATTTGGATTCCTTACTTCTTGATGCTGCCAAGCCTTCTTCAGCTTCAAGAAACAATACTGATCCCCGTTTAGGCAAGTCACTTTGTCACCGGACTGGCTTACCACCTTTTCCATGGTCACACGCTTTCTCGGGGCACAATAAATCGGTTACTGATGCAGCTAAATTGTCCTCCAGTCGGACCATATGCCAAGGTAGATGGGTAAAAGTAAAAAATATTTCCTCTCTTCAAGAAGGTTCCTCTGGTTTCCTTGAGGGCTTGGAATCACTAACGTACAATCCTAGTCTAGTTCCTACAGTAAATCTCAAGTTGGGACCTCCTGAAAGTGAAGTTGCTCAAATTACGTCCTCTGAACGAGTTTTATCCATGTCTGAAGCATGCTCAACTTCCAATGTTTTTCCAGGTAAATTTTATTCAAGGTCTAGTTGCAATTAGTTGACATCGTACTTTGAATTTCAATTTGTTCACTTATATTTTTTTGCTTTTTCTTCACAATAGACAACTTTTTTAGGGACAATTGTTTCAGATAAATGTTAAACCAAACAAGAAGCGGAATTATCGAATGAAAGCATGAAGAGTGTCTTACCATCATAATATATGTGTACTATGTTTGGCTTAGCTCAAGAAGTTCACTTTTAAATTTATACTTAAATAAGTTTTAGAATAAATAGTTTATTTATTGGACAGAGCATTTTGATCGTATTTTGATCGTAATGCCAGGAGAGCATGTTTGGGAGCACTTTTGTCAAACCTACTTTTATCCACATGGCTAGTGGGACCCACAAGTACTACCCTCTTATTCATCACTAATTTCTATCTATTTATAATCACCTAACAAACACGTGCTAAGTAACATTTGTTTATATAAAGGAAAAAGTTTACTCGTAACTTTTTTTTAAAATAACTTTTATTGGTCAAATCTGGAAATAAGTCGTGTATTTTGACTCTTGACACGAAGTTAAGGAGTTACTTTCAAATTGACTTTTTTTACTGGAAAGTAAAAATTAGTTTTCAAAACATGTATGGAAATGAAAAGTTGCTTGAAAGTAACTTTTACTTCTTTATAAGCTCTAGCCAAACATGCCTCATTTTATGTGACCAACTGTTTGGATAGCTGATTTTCTATTGTTATCACAGGATGTTAAGATTCTTGAACTGATCATTGATAACATTTCTGTCCTTTTTCATTTTTCTGATTGTTATATTTTCAGCAGTGACTGATGAACACCCTCCATCACACCTTGCTGCTGCTCAGATGCTGTGTGAGATGGCAACTCATTCCTTGAAGCGAAATCCATGTGGGGTGACAAAATTACTGAAAAAGCCTTCCCAAATGTCCATGAAAACGTGCAAGTTGAAATCTGTCAAATCTGAAAAATTATTTGAGGCACCAAAACCAAAGACGGGACACGATAATTTGGTCAAAGTCAAAGTTTCTGATGATAGGGTTCCCTCGAAGAAACTTAGGCTCTCGGCCGATGTAAAGAATGAGCATATTGGTGGCCCCATATCTGGAAGCAAAGAACCATTGCACTGGTCTGCTCTCCGGTCGATCAAATCCTCTCCTAGCAAGCTATTTAGGGAGTCAGCTGCAGAAACAAAGACTCACAATCCCAACTTTGTAAAGAAATCGTGTGGGATTTCACTGCTCTCTCGTATCGTGGACAAACCTAGGAGTAGTGGTGAACAGAAGCCGAGGAAGGCGGTCCCACCGGAGTGGAATCGGGCAGATGGCAAGATGGAATGATAAATATGAACGCGAGAGCTCGTCTCTGGACATAATTGTTGGTTCGTAAAGTTGCTATTGCAGTTATGTTAAACTGTTAGGTTTGTATATATTGTCACTTGTAGGGTAGGAATGTTGTGTATGATATAATGTTACTTGATGGGATTTAGGTTTTAATGTTGTAACTTTGTAACTTCTAACAGGAAATTTGATGCCTTGTGTAGATCATTTGATGAGGCAATGGAAAATTATGTTCTTTAACTTGTTCGTCTTCTCTGTCCACAATGTAAATAGAAGAACGAACGTTATGAAAATATCAAAATATTTTTTTCCACATTATGCTCACTTTGATTTAGATAAAAATTAGATTTTTAATGTATTTTAATAAAAGTTAATGGAATATGTGGTTGAAAAGTTATCAATCCTTTAACATTTGTTATTAAAATTAATTGTTGATTTTGATTTAAATTTTAATCAAATTTTTTTAGATGAATCAAACATGGGTTATTCATTGTAAGAAAAAAAAAACAAGAGATGTATGACTGTATAATATCACTTTCCAATAAATTGTGTTATTCGATATTGATAGATGATTCTCACTATATGAATCATCAAAGTAAACTTCGATACTTTGCAATAGATAGATGATTCTCACTATAGAAATCATCAATGTTAACTTCAACACATTAATTTGCAACAAAATGGTTAAATTTATAAATGAAAGTAATGATTATTTTCATCATATGATATACGCGATCAATATACGAAGAATGATCGCTATATTTTGAGCATAGTGAATATGAGAAGTTGCCAAATTTAGTGGTCGAAATAGAAGCATTTGAGGTCTTATCATTCGTAAATTGGACAAATAGCGTTCAAATCCAATGACCACACACATCGATTTGATTAAATGTTATGGGATTCGTTGGCATTAAAATTAATATAATATACATGTAAATGCTTTTCAATTTTTGAGAATGTAGCTCAAATGGTAGAGTGCTCGCTTAGCATGCGAGTTACGGCGATCGATACCTTGCATCTCCATATTTCTGGATATTTTCACATTTTTTATCAACCAACCGCAAAATTAATGGTATTCCCACTTTTCAATTAAGTCCAATTGGAAACTTGTTAAATTGGTGGCCTGATATATTGGGCTTTAGTGGGCTACATTAGAAACATTTACATTTTACTATGCAATGGAAATACAACTATAAGTACTAACATATATGTAAATTATTTTAAATAATACTACTAAATATAGATCCCAAAATATATTTGTACCTAACATTTTTTAAAATTCAGCATACTTCACTCTCGACATTTAATGAGCCTTTCAATTTCATTGATGAATTTACATATGTATTTTTCTTTAACAATACTCTCTATTTTGAGTATTCCAGAAAACATACTGGACATCCTCATCCTTTGAATCTATATCTATCAATATACATATCCTGAGACGATGGCGGACTCTGATGAAGATTTCAAATGACTTAAACAAGGGTGGGACATCATATATAATTTTGAACCCATGACACGATATTCGAGATCATGTTAATGGCAAATTCTTGAACCTATGAATGGGAATATCTTAGGTTTAGTGTTTGAGATACTTGGGACATCACAAAATGTGAAAGGAAAGAAAGTTTCCAATATAACATGTTGACAAAAGAGAGCATACAAATTTTCTTTCTAGATTTGTCTCGTCTTGGTTGTGATATAGGAAATATATATTTATTTTTTATTTACAAGAACCCTCTTTGACCTTTGATTTATCGAGCTTTTCAAAAGTTAAAAATTATTTATGAAATTAAGAAGTTACTTCCGAGATTAAGAAAATGCTTTTAAATATGTTTGAATAATTTTTTGAATGTTTTTTTTATTTTATTTGAAGAACATTTAGTTGAAGTAGGTTTTAAAAAAGGAAAATTCTTCTACAAAAAGTGAAAAAGCAAAAATTATTTTTATTTATAGCCGTACAGACTTCTTGTCCTAAGGTACGGGTTCGTGATAACAAAGTCATCGGAGCCTCTAGAAGCACGCGTCAATTTAACATAATATTCTTCATTTTTTTTTCTAAGTTTCCCATTAATCTTAAATTTCCACGAAGCTGCCTCATGAAAACTATAAATATTGAGCATGTTATGTATCCCAAAAAGCATTCATTTTTCGTAAATTATCATCCAGCATTATTTCAAGAAGAAAATAGAAAGATTTTTTGTTTAGGGAAAGAAGAAAGAATATATATGGCTGCAGAGAAGTACCAGCAGGGATATCCACTAGCTCCGGCCAGCGTTATGCCCCGAAGCGATGAAGAATCGGCTGCCTTCCGGTCAATCGACAACCAGGAGCTCAAGAAGAAGAAGAGACTGAAATGCTTTACTTATATTGCTATCTTTGCTGTGTTTCAAGCAATAATAATCCTCGTCTTTGCTCTCACTGTGATGCGTGTTAAAACGCCAAAGGTAGAACTAACTCATCTAAAGCTTAAGCCTTGAGCGGCTAGAGATAAGATTACTTGTTTAAGTAAATTTTGTCTATAATACACCGCATGCATGCATGTCAAATTTGTTTTTCATCACAACTTTTCATAAATTGTAGTTACGAAGTAGTCATTACAGAAGATTTATCTGCTTTGATACTGTGTTGAATTAAATCAACTTAAAAGTTTAAACGGTTAGAGAGAAGTGCGTGTAGTTATTTAATTTTGTTTTCAAGTAGTGGTATCATAACTCTAGCTTATCGAACCGTCAATTCTAAAAGCTCAAACCGTTAAAAAGGAAAGACATTTACTTATTTAAATTTTATCTTCAACAGGTCCGTTTGGGAGACGTCAGCATCAGCAGAACCAACGGAACTGGTGAATTCAGGTTCACTGCAATAGTTCTTGTGAGGAACAGAAATTTTGGGCACTACAAATTTGATGACACGATGGCCACTATAAAGTCTGGGGATGCAACTGTAGGGCTATTTGTTATCCCAGAATCAAGGGCTAAGGCACGATCAACTAGAAGACTTAATGTTATTGCTGATATAAATTCTTCTTCAGGCAATAATTCTGGGGTTTTGCCTCTTTCTGTGGAGGCCAAATTGAGAGGAAAAGTTCGTCTTATAAAGGTCATAAAAAGGAATAAATCTGCAGATATGAATTGTACTATGTCGATTAATTTGGCCACGAATGCCGTACAAGATCTGAACTGCAACTGAGGGATTGAAATGGATTGAGAGATCCACATCAACTGACGAGTTATTGAAAACTCTATTGAAGTGTTTTCTTTAATCGGAGTGTAGTCGATCATCTATAGCCATCTCTTTATCGATGGCTGAATAGACTTACGAGCTTCTATTTGGTGTAGATTTCGTGGAAATGTTCTTGATATTTTCTTCATTTTTTGTCCATGTTCATTTTTTTTGGGATTTATCAATATTTGTATCACGATGTGATTTGTGTGTATCAATATTTTCTCGTTAGCTTTTAGTTTTTTACAATTACATCCAAATGATTTAGATTTCTCTCATGCTCCTACTAATTCGGAAATTGTTTATGCGCTTTTTATATGAAGTTACGATCCTCCTGCGTGAAAATTTATTTCAATATTTAATAATCGACGTGTGTTTAATTTGTACCTAGAAGATGTTGCTTGTGTAAAAATATCAATTTTGGAATCCGATGGCTCATTTGAACTTTAGACAAATCGAGAACAATGTTAATTATAATAATAAGTTTGAGATTGACCAATTTGGATAAAGTTATTAACAAAATACGAAGAAAAGGTCATTGTGGATATCCTCTAATATTTGATATTATTTATGATTTTTTTCCCCATTTAACCAGCAGTTCTAGATGGAATATTCAAACTTCATGGCTTCAAATATCAACTCATACGTAATTTGTAAGAAAAAGGTAACCACAACGTTATTTTAATTATTGAATTCCAGCTTGATTCTCTATTCACATTCACATTTTTATTAAAATACATTATTTGAAATTTATAGCAAACTTTTTGGATTGAGTATTGAATCCCTGTTTGGTATCGATTAAAATTCAAAATTTAATTTAAATCAAAATCAACAATTAATTTTAACAACATATTTCATGGATCCCACAATTTTTCAACCACCCATTTCATCAACTTTTATCAAAATCTACTAAAAATTTAATTTTAATCTCTACCAAATAAGGGCCGCATAAGGACACGACTGTTATAATTTTCGTCTTTTTTATCGTTAATATTCAATAACAATGTATCTCGTAAAGATTGTGAAGATGATTTTTCATCTTTTTTTCTAGTTAGTATCCAATATTATCAATTTCTCTTGACAAACAAATCATACGTGCGTGCAATTAAAAGTAAAAGAAAAAAGCAAAAAGAAAAAAAAAAAAGAATTCACTTCTTTTATATTGTGAAATAATAAATATGAAATTGTGATATAATGACTTTTCACTGCCTAACTCTTAAACGCAAAATGTTCTCTATTTTTAAGAGTCAAATAATTAAAAGTAGGCTCTAAAAAATAGAAAGTGGATTTAGAGAATCAAACTTTTTGTCTATTCTTAATTTACAATGATGCATTTAGGGTGTGTTTGATTGACATGAATAATGTTATCAAAAAAGAAAATATTTTTCTCGTTTTGAGGAACATAAAAATCGACCTCCCAAAGGAAATATTTTTTTATAAAAAAAAAAAGGAAAATTATGCATATTTTATAGGAAAAAAATGACAATCAAACATTTTAAAAGTTGAAATTCTAATAAGAATAACCATTTTCCATGAAAATATTTTCAATCAAACACACTCTTAATAAGTTTCAAATTTCAATGCTCTACTATTTAAATTATTTTTGAAATAATTGACCACTGACATTCAAAAATTATATTAAATAAGAGACGAGAAATCAATAAATGCTCTTCGAATAAAATAAAATATCAAAATAGAGAGTATTGTACCACCTTGCACCAATCTTTCTCCTTCCTCTACTCCTCCGGTGGTGTACTAGAAAACTTGGATACTTTTGTACCTCCTCCTTTATTATGTCCTGATTTGGTGATGATTAAAATTTGATTTTTAGTAGATTTTGATAAAAAAAATGATGAAATGTGTGGTTGAAAAATTGTGGATTCCCTAAAATGCATGGTTAAAATTGGTTGTTGAATTTGATTTAGATTAGATTTTAATTTATCTCATCATCTAATAAACCTGCATCTGACTCTAAATCCTCCAAATTATTCTTGAATGGGGAATTTACAAAAATGTCCAATACTATGCTTGTTAATTGAAAAACGTTTCTTATTTTGACAATTCTTACAAAATTTGTCAAATTTGGTACCTAATTATATGTTACACCCTTAATGAAAAATGAATATTTTTTTTCAATTTATCATGAATTTCGAGAAGAACAAGTAGCATCCCTAGAAGCTACATTAATGATAGCTAATACGTAATGGATTCATTTGTTTTTATTATTTATTAAGTATTGACCAATGATTTGGAAAAAAAAAATAAAAAAGATAAAGTAAAAAAGTCATTAACACTGAAAATAACCATATGCTTTCAATTTATAAGAAAATCATATAATTTCATTTTGAAAAATTTAATTTCATCCAAATTTAGGAGTTAATTAGGCTCAGGTAATTTTTTTTTTGAATCTTATTTTTGTCGATAAGTTGTGTTAAATAGCTGTCGTTCTTGACACTTCGTAGTGTTCTTGATAATTTAAAAATTATTCCTGATATTTGGATTCTACTTATCTCGACATTTGACGACACTTGATTTGTCTAGAATGAGATTTCGTTTCGAACATGAGAGTTCTCTATAATTCATAAAGATCTTGACATTGGAAGTGTAGTTTTCGACATTTAATCTCAACACTCGATATTTCATTTATCAAGAACGACAGTTCGACAATGATAACAATACAACACGAGAACTACCACACTAACTTGAAACCATATACCTACTCTTATCAACGTTAAACATGATTGAACTGAATAGCATACCACTAATGAAACAACCAAAAATTCACATCGACTTCAAGTTTATATTCAATCACCGAACTATACCAAAGATGTATAATAAAGCTAATTCCCACTATTAGGCTCGAGTGCAGTCCAGATTCGCAACATCCAGAATGGCAGTAGGCTCAAGTGCAATCCAGATTCACAAAAGCATTCTCTGCACCTGCGTCAAAACGGATCAAAGCTTTCATGCTATTTGCAACTTCTGTTATCTGCAAACCTTCAAGGAACAACCATTCATCTAAATATCTGTCTTGAAATTAAGGGGGTGTCCTGAATTGAGACCGTGATGGATTTTAAAAATCATTTTAAATTTAGGTATCCTCAATTGGAGTTTTAATGAAATTCATTAAAAATTAAGTGTCCCTAATTGATATTTTAATGAAATTCTATAAAATTTAGGCATCCTCGATGTCTAGTGAATTTATAAAAATTTCATTCACAGAGGGATTTTAAAAGATTTGGATAGATTTCAAGCTTAAAAATACATATAACCAAATCTTTTGAAATTTTACCATATTTGATGAGATGCATACGGAATTTGTGGAAATCTATTCAAGAAATTCTTTAGGATTTATAATCTTTTAAAATCTTAGTTGACGACCACGTATGAACGAAGGACCAAAATGACAATAAAAAGGTTCTTTGGACATTGGCGGAAGCTGAAATGAAGAGAATGGACAAAAATGCTAGGTTTCGCTAACTGAAATGCTGGTTTATTCTTTAAAACTAGGGAACAATATACAAAACATACATATAAGAATTACTTTTCAAAACTAACAAATTTGTCTAATTATTTCAAAAATCAGGTATTAAATAGATTTATTAAATATTAAATTATAATATAATATATATTAATTATTTACATCACATGACACCTCACCCACCCCCATCACCTCACTACATCACCTTCCCTCCATCTCCAGCACCGCTCTGGCGATGTTCCGACTACTGCTCCAGCAACACTCCGATGACTACTCCGATGGCCGCTCCGGTGACTCTCCAGCGATCACTCTGACGGCTATTCCTACGATCACCCAGATGCCCGTTCCGACGGCCAACTTCCAAATTTTTCCCGAATTTTTTTGTCACAATTGGTCGCCACGAGTCACAATTCACAAGCCACAATCGGTCACCAAAGGGCACAATCAGTCACAACGAGTCACAATNACCCCAGCAGTCACAAACACTCGTCCCACACTCCACCAGCCACCAACATCACTACCAACCCACCTCGCCATCACAACCACACACAAATCACAAAACTACAATCGCCGGAAAACCCCAGCAGCGAAGCTTATCACCTAAAACCACAAACTACAGACATCACCGGTGCTCAACTACAAATCACAACCCACAGTTCGACATCACCTCGACGTTGTGCAGATCGAGAAGCACCTTGCGTACGGTGGCCCTTTGTGCGGCTGTTTGAAGTGACAGTGGCCCTTCGACGTCTAGGAGTGACGGGCTGCAGCAGACGCCGCGTTGTCGCCGCTCTGCTTCTTCAGAGCGACATCGCTCGATGGTCGTGCCTTGAGCACGGTGGTGGTGGTGTTTTGTCTGACGGTGGCGGCGACGGTGACGGAACCGGCGACGCTACTCCACGGTGGCTGTCGGTCGATGAGAAATGATGAGAGAGAGAGAACGGTGGGTGAGATTTTGAAATGAATGGTGCGTGGAGATGGGGGTTAGGTGAGGTAAATATGTAGAGATTATGTTTAATTAAATTTTTATTAATTAAAATTTAATTATCACTTGATTTGTGAAATAAAAATTAATCCTCCCGTTTTTTGAAATTGAAACTTTAAAAGTAGGTTTCTAGGTAATTTTCTCTTAAAACTATTTTGGGGAAAATGCTGCGTTCTTCTATAAAATGGTATCGCTCATGCCAGAGTGCTACAACGTGGCCGTGATGGAGAGTCGCCGGTGATGTCGACCGGATTGACACAGGGCTTTGACTGGAATTTTGTGTGAACCGGGTGTAAGTAAGGCGGGTTGCATCTCATTTTGCGCTACACTTGAGTTTTTCCTTCTTTTTTTAATCCCAATTGCCCACATCAGGTTGTAACCCAACATTGTACAACCAATATTATGTGAGAAATGAACATTCAATGCATGATCAACATAACATTATTTTAAATAAGTTATATATATTATGTGTCAAATTGTTATTGACCAATTAATAATTTT